GAGTAGACCTTGCCTTTCACAGCAATTATTTTTAGTTAGCATATAGGTAAAACCTAACGATGGTTATTCAATAGCATCTGCATTCTGACGTGATAAGCTGTATGTTTTATATTCAATTAACGTATGATCTGATTAGTCGACTAATCGAATAAATAATCGGTGATTAATCGATTATTAAAATAATCATTTGTGGCAGCCCTATCCGCAGCCCTGCACGTTTTACTTGTTTCTTTTCTCCAACACACCTGATTTTAATTATTGGATGATTTTCAGGCTTCTGCAGAACTTGGAAGAGGTAATTCACTGACTGAATCAGGTGTGTTAGAGAAGGGGCGAAAGTAAAACATGCACGGTTGCGGACCTCGAGGACCGGAATTGATTATCCCTGATTTATATTTTTATTTCTATGACTGTATATGACCCACTGGAGACACGACATTAGCAGCAGTCGTCATTCCTCGGCTTTAGCAGGTCCTTTAATTGGGTTTTTTTTTTTACTTTTAAAGGGGCAATATCATGTAAAATCAACTTTTTTGAGTTTCATATTATGTTATAATGTTCTACTCTCATAAAAAACATGCCCAAATCCTTGTTTTGATTCATTCATGAATGTTTGAGAAATCCTGCAGCGTTTTTAGGAAGCCATGCTGAGGAGCAAAACGACAGGTGGGGACCAGAAACGGTCTCAGGAGCATTAACCCTTTAGGGCCCAGACTTAAAATGTGGTAAATAAATTATTTTTGGATAGTTGCATTTTTAACTGTTGTCTTTTATATCTACAAGAGCTGAGAGTTCTTCTTCAGTGTTACAAAGACAATTTGTAGAAACAGGACATGATTTGAGGATTTTTACTGATAAAATTTTCTTTGAAATTGACCTCCGTCTCTTTAAGAACCACCTTCCGCTTCTGTCTCGCCCATTTCGGGGGAGGGGGGGGGGTTATGATGCATTTTACTTGGCATCTGAAAATACATTTCCTCAAAGGCATTTTGAACCTGAAAAAAGCTTCACTGAGTGAAAAATAGTTAAGAACTCAGCAGACAGTTTCAGTTTCACTTTCAGTTTCACTCATTTGCTTTGTTACAGGCGAGAGCCTGCAGGAGTCATGAGCAGGGTGTGTGGGGTGGGGAGGCGTGCTCCATGATGAGGAAGTTTGGCTTAAAAGACACGTCCCAGGGGCGTTTCTGGTCCCAAAAGGCGTTTCTGTCCCAAAAGGCGTTTCTGGTCCCCACCTGTCGTTTTGCTCCTCAGCATGGCTTCCTAAAAACGCTGCAGGATTTCTCAAACATTCATGAATGAATCAAAACAAGGATTTGGGCATGTTTTTTATGAGAGTAGAACATTATAACATGATATAAAACTCAAAAAAGTTGATTTTACATGATATTGCCCCTTTAAAAGTACATGTATGGATCACCCAATGCTCAAACATTGTGTTTATTATGGACAGCGCATGCCCATCACAAAAATTCAACACTGCTCATTATTGATCTCAACCAAAAATCTGGCATTCAGAACAAACTAACCTAGTTAATATAGCATGTACTCAGATTTTTTTCAATCAAATTTAAGTGTGTTCAAAGCACTCTGTAAATTGAAGACACAAGATAAAGACATGTCTGCTTACCATCCAATTAATTTTTTTCTACAGACATTTAAGTGATTGGATTATTTCATTAGGTGTACCCCAAGCATTCGTTGTTCCAGTTTTCCTTACCTCATACTCCTCTTCCAGCATGACTGACTGCTTCTTGACATCCACTTTAGCCACCAGTGAAGGATCCAGCTGAAAAAGAATAGTGGAAAATAAACAATGATTTTACAAGAGATTAGAATGAATGAATGAATGAATGAATGAATGAATGAATGAATGAATGAATGAATGAATGAATGAATGAATGAATATTTAAATAAACATAAGCTTTTAAATCAAAAACATGAAGCAATAATGAGAAAAGAGGATAGATGTGGATGGTTTCTTTGAGTGTGAGAAAAAACTAAGATCAACTGAGAAGAACTTTATGATCCAACTTGAATTTTATGTCCATGACCTCCCCAGAACATAACTGTTAGCTTGCATAAATACAAGGGTTAGACAACNGCTTAAAAGACACGTCCCAGGGGCGTTTCTGGTCCCAAAAGGCGTTTCTGGTCCCCACCTGTCGTTTTGCTCCTCAGCATGGCTTCCTAAAAACGCTGCAGGATTTCTCAAACATTCATGAATGAATCAAAACAAGGATTTGGGCATGTTTTTTATGAGAGTAGAACATTATAACATGATATAAAACTCAAAAAAGTTGATTTTACATGATATTGCCCCTTTAAAAGTACATGTATGGATCACCCAATGCTCAAACATTGTGTTTATTATGGACAGCGCATGCCCATCACAAAAATTCAACACTGCTCATTATTGATCTCAACCAAAAATCTGGCATTCAGAACAAACTAACCTAGTTAATATAGCATGTACTCAGATTTTTTTCAATCAAATTTAAGTGTGTTCAAAGCACTCTGTAAATTGAAGACACAAGATAAAGACATGTCTGCTTACCATCCAATTAATTTTTTTCTACAGACATTTAAGTGATTGGATTATTTCATTAGGTGTACCCCAAGCATTCGTTGTTCCAGTTTTCCTTACCTCATACTCCTCTTCCAGCATGACTGACTGCTTCTTGACATCCACTTTAGCCACCAGTGAAGGATCCAGCTGAAAAAGAATAGTGGAAAATAAACAATGATTTTACAAGAGATTAGAATGAATGAATGAATGAATGAATGAATGAATGAATGAATGAATGAATGAATGAATGAATGAATGAATGAATATTTAAATAAACATAAGCTTTTAAATCAAAAACATGAAGCAATAATGAGAAAAGAGGATAGATGTGGATGGTTTCTTTGAGTGTGAGAAAAAACTAAGATCAACTGAGAAGAACTTTATGATCCAACTTGAATTTTATGTCCATGACCTCCCCAGAACATAACTGTTAGCTTGCATAAATACAAGGGTTAGACAACGAAACTGAAACAYCTGTCATTTTAGTGTGGGAGGTTTCATGGCTAAACTGGACCAGCCTGGTGGTAAGTCTTCATTAATTGCACATTGCACCAGTTAGAGCAGAGTGTGAAGGTTCAATTAGCAGGGTAAGAGCACAGTTTTGCTCAAAATATTGCAATTGCCTATATGGCACGGACATCCGGCCCAGCACTGGATGCCACTCCCAGCATTTCCGGGTCACGGTCAACACAGTGTTAGCGAAAGATTTTTTCACCCGACGACTCTTAATGATCTCCAAAGTACAGAATTAGCATATTACATGTACCAACATTAACATAGGAGACATACAGGTCCAGCCAAGTGGGGAAAAAAATCACTCCAAAGTGGATTAAGGCCATAAAAACAAAGGAAAGACGTTCATGTTTATGGTTCCAGAATTTAGCCTTTTTCACTATTCCTTGGCTGCTTGTTCTGTGAAGTTTTCACGTAGAGCTGTGACACTTATATTGTTGGAAAGAGCAGAGCCTGGGCTTTAAACTGATGGACTACTTGTATGGTTTGGATCATTTTCCCCGATGTTAGTGAACTGAAAACGTAATGATTATCAGGCGGAGGTTCTGCTGCTCTCGGGGGGAGGGGGTCACTCGTCACTCGGCTTTAGTCTACGCTGTAATATATACTCTAACAAGGTTTTACTTTTGCATAAAACCCATGACAAAGTCGCATGAAAACATTTCATATAACACAAACGCGCGCGTACACACACCTAACTTTACAGGCTGCTGTGTTAGCTTCCTGTTAGCTTCCTGCTAGCTGTCGTGTGAAGGAGGTCTTTCCTAAAGGGGAAAAATGTACATTTCCCTTTTGTAACCTCCGTCTCCTCATTTCTGATGCTGACTCTTGAATATCCTCAGGTTAGAAATGCAGATTACAAACACAAGCGTGAGCTTTTAAAGATAAGTTTTCCCTGTAATGCTATGATCCTCTGCTGTCACCTCCTCATCTAAAGGAAAATGGATAAAAACTAACTACTCAATCGTACCTGCTGGTTAGTGGCCACAACGGCACACAACAGAACTCCCGTTTTATACCAGTAGATCACAGATGCTTCAACTTTTGTGACTTTTTCACGGACTAGTACTAGGAGCTAACATTAAACACATAGGCAGTAAGCAGGGAGTGGAAGGGAGGAGCGTGGCAAAATTTTTACCGGAAATACGTCATTAATGACCGTGGCATATAGGCTATGCATACAACATTATTATCAGAGTTCAAAAGAGGACAAATTGTTGGTGCACGTCTTGCTGGTGCATCTGTGACCAAGACAGCAAGTCTTTGTGATGTATCAAGAAGAGCCACGGTATCCAGGGTAATGTCAGCATACCACCAAGAAGGACGAACCGCATCCAACAGGATTAACTGTGGACACAAGAGGAAGCTGTCTGAAAGGGATGTTATGGTCTAAAACAGGGGTAGACATAAGGAAATTTTTCAGGTTGTCCAGCGGACAACCTGTTGACAAAACCTGGTTGTCCGCAAAACCTTTTGGTTGTCCAAAAGTATCAAGAAAAATGTAATTTAACAAGTATATTTTCTTGTAGACAAAGTTTATTATATACTGGTAATTGTTCTCAGTTAGCCAGGTTGACAGGAGCTGCATGAATAAAACTTCTGCATTCTCTTCTTTGAAATAGAGTTCAACATTCATAAGCTTCTTTCTACTCATAGGTCAATCATTTTCACTTAAATATACTGTGTACATGACTTTATTGAAAGTTACAGTTTAGTCCTGTTCGGTTTTACCA